CAGGAGGTCTTACGGAGCGTCGTGAGCCGGAGTCTCGTCCTGTGTCGCCTGAGTCTCGTTCTGCGTCACCTGTTCCTGCTGCTCGCACTGGTCGTATTGTCACGCGTCAGCGTCCTCCTGCTGTCCCAGGCACTCACCAGATGACGCTTCGTCTTTCCACTGCTCCACAGTGAGTCCCTCTGCCTTCTCCTCCTGCGTCCTCTCTTCCTGCCCTTACTGATACGAAGTCTGACTCTCTTCGTGCTGCTAGTCCTACTGTCACGCATCTCCTGGCCACGGCTGTCACTGACCCTTCCTTTGAGTCTGCTGTTGCGTCTGCCCTAGTTGCTGAGCTTGTCGACTTTGGTGCTCGCTGTCGTCTAGACTACGCCGCGAGTCTTGTTGCTGAGTCTGAGTCTGTCTGTCCTACGTCCGTCAAGGGTGAGTGTGCTCTAGGCACAGACGTCCTTGAGGACAGACAGGAGGACCTTCAGTGTCTTGAAGCCGCTGCGCCTCATCTCGTGTCCATGCTGCTTGCCCCTGAGGGAGACCCGGATGCTCCAAACATCCCGACCCCACGCTCTTACGCTGAGGCGATCGCGGGTGAGTACTCCTCTCAGTGGCAGTCAGCCATGGACGCAGAGATGGCATCTTGGAAGTCCACAGGCACCTACGTCGACGAGGTTCCCCCTCCTGGGGCGAACATCGTCAGTGGCATGTGGATTTTCAGGGTGAAGCGGCCACCAGGCGCACTACAGGGACTGGGGCTGGTACTTCTCCTCCTAGTCGGGAGCTCCCCTCTCGTGAGCGGATCCGTGAGTGGTACAAGCCCCGTTGCACACTTCGGAGTGGTGCGCCTCGTCTCACAGACCCGGCTGCCCCTGGTGCTACGGACCCGGGCGTTGGAGGTGCTGCTGGTGCTGAGGACCCGGGCGTTGGAGGTGCTGCTGGTGCTACGGACCCGGGCGTTGGAGCTGATGCTGGTGCTGCGGACCCTCGCGTTGGAGCTGCTGCTGGTGCTGCGGACCCGAGGGTTGGAGGTGCTGCTGGTGCTGAGGACCCGGGCGTTGGGGCTGCGGCTGGTGCTGCGGACCCTGGCGTTGGAGCTGCGACTGGTGCTGTGGACCCTGGTGTCAGAGTCCCTGCTGGTGCTGAGGACCCGGGCGTTGGAGCTGCGGCAGGTGCTGTGGACCCTGGTGTTGGAGCCACTGCTGGTGCTGAGGACTCGGGCGTTGGTGCTGAAGCTAGTACTGAGGACCTGGGCGTTGGAGCTGCTGCTGGTTCTGGTACTGCCGCTGGGGGTACAGGTGCTGTCCCTGCTGTGTCTGGAGTCGCCGCGCGCCCTCAGCCGTACTTCGTTCCGCTCCTTCAGCAGGTTCTTGGTCTCTCGCCTCCTCCTGGTCCTCCTCCCTTAGCGTGTTCACAGCCTGTCCCGTCACAGTTACAGTTGCAGCCGGCCTCCCCACTACCTGCTCCTTCTCCTTACACTGGTCCTACTGGCGGTCTTACTGAGCGACGTGAGTCTGCGTCTCGTCCTGCGTCGCCTGTCCGTCCTGCTAGCGCTAGTGCTCGTAGTTCGCACCAGCGTCCTCCTCCTGTCCCTGGCACGCACCGGATGTCTCTACGTCCGTCCACTGCTCCTCTGCGTGCCCCTTTGCCTTCTCCTCCTGAGTCCTCTCTTCCTGCCCTTGCCGACCCGGAGTCGGACTCTCTTCGTGCTGCCAGTCCTACTGTCACGCGTCTCCTTGCTACTGTCGTCACTGACCCTTCTTTTGAGTCTGCTGCTGCGTCTGCTCTCCTTACTGAGCTCGTCGACTTTGCTGCTCGCTGTCGCCTAGACTACGCTGCTAGTCTTGTCGCTGAGTCTGAGTCTGTCTGTCCTCCGTCCGTCGGGGGTGAGTGTGCCCTTGGCACGGACGTCCTTGAGGACAGGCAGGAGGAGTTCCAGTGTCAGGCAGCTGCTTCACCTCATCTCGTGTCCGTACTGCTTACCCCTGAGGGAGACCCGGATGCACTTGACATCCCGACTCCGCGCTCTTACGCGGAGGCGATAGAGGGTCCCTACTCCTCTCAGTGGCAGGCAGCTATGGACGCAGAGATGGCTTCCTGGAAGTCCACAGGCACCTACGTTGACGCTGTCCCCCCTCCTGGGGCAAACATCGTCAGTGGCATGTGGATCTTCAGGGTGAAGCGGCCGCCGGGTTCTCCGCCTGTCTTCAAGGCGCGTTACGTGGCTCGTGGCTTCAGTCAGCGACAGGGAGTTGACTACTTTCGGACCTTCTCCCCCACCCTGAAGATGACCACTCTTCGGGTACTGCTGCACGTTGCTGCTCACCGGGACTACGAGCTGCACTCTCTCGACTTCAGCACAGCTTTCCTGCAGGGCAGCTTGCACGAGGAGATCTGGCTGCGCCGCCCACCTAGCTTCACTGGGTCTTTCTCTCCTGGTACCCAGTGGAGTCTCCGGCGTCCAGTCTACGGTCTCCGCCAGGCGCCACGTGAGTGGCACGACACACTGAGGACTACGCTTGCGGCTCTTGGGTTCGCTCCGTCTACTGCCGACCCGTCGCTGTTTCTGCGCACCGACACTTCTTTGCCGCCGTTCTACATCCTCGTGTACGTCGACGACTCGGTCTTTGCCACAGCTGACACTATTGGACTCGCCTACGTGAAGTCCGAGCTGCAGAAGAGACACACGTGCACTGACTTGGGTGAACTGCGCAACTACCTTGGCTTGCAAATCACCCGGGACAGAGCACGCCGCACCATTACCCTAACTCAGTCACACATGGTGCAGCAGGTCCTTCAGCGCTTCGGCTTCACGTACTCCTCGCCTCAGGCCACTCCTCTGTCTACTCGCCACTCGCTCTCAGCTCTGCCTTCGGATGAGTCCGTAGAGTCGAGTGGCCCGTACCCAGAGCTTGTTGGCTGCCTCATGTACCTGATGACCTGCACACGACCTGACCTTGCATACCCTCTTAGCATTCTTGCACGCTATGTTGCTCCTGGGAGACACTGACCAGAGCACATGGCTGCAGCGAAGAGGGTGTTGCGCTACTTGTGCAGTACGTCGGGCATGGGGCTAGTGCTTGGAGGGCGGAGTCCAGTGGTCCTCACTGGATACGCAGACGCTTCTTGGGCTGACGACCAGGCTACGCAGCGGTCGTCAGAGGGTTACACCTTCAGCCTTGGTTCCGGCTCTGTTTCGTGGCGGGCTACTCGCTCGTCTTCTGTTCTTGGCTCCAGTTGTGAGGCTGAGATCTACGCAGGGGCCATGGCTGCAAAGGAGCTTCGCTGGCTCACCTACCTGCTGACCGACCTTGGAGAGCCGCCTCGTTCTCCTCCAGTCCTGTACGTCGACAACAAGGCCATGCTGGCCTTGTGTCGGGAGCAGAGACTGGAGCACAGAACAAAGCACATTGCTCTCCGCTACTTCCTTGCTCGTGAGCTACACCAGCGTGGTCAGTTGCGACTTGCGTACGTGGCCTCTGAGGCCAACACTGCTGATGTCTTCACCAAGGCCCTTCCGCCTTGTGATCATCAGCGCTGCTGTACCCAGCTGGGTCTTGTGTCTGTCTTGCCTCACTTGCTCTCCTCTTGACCCTCTTTGTACTGTTACATATATATATATATCACTGCTCTTGCTTGTTTAGTCTTATATATATATCTGTACTCCTGCATGTGAACTGGCCTTGTGGCCTTGCACTTGTGCTTGGATTGTGTGGTGACGTTGTGATCCACCCTGAGCTTGCTTTGTTTTGCTTTACTTGACTGGTCTTGTGACCCCTAGTTCTCCCCCACTTCGCCTATAGGGGTGTGTCAAACATTATATATGTTGTTGTAGTTGTTTAGGCTACTGTGGGTTAGCCTATAGGGGGTACACATTCCTAGGTTTTCATACTTGTACTCATTTCACTCTTAGTTCATTCATTCTTGTTCAACAATTTTCTATCCCAGCGCTTAGGAAACATGGCAAATCGTGGGGCAGCCAATGTCGCGAATCGCAACCATTTTGGGGCGCCAATTTCCTAGCATTTGTTCACACCCTGCAGTTTTATAGCATCCCGTTCGCGCTTCGCCAACACCTCACCTTCCAAGATTCTCGCTGCGCTGCGGGCCGCTTGAACGGGTTGGGTATACCACGTGCAAGAGAAGTTATATTTGACCGATAGAGTATACCGCGTGAGCGGATACGGTAAGTGCTGCATTGCGCGGGGTTTGGTTTGGAATACTGCACGGGTGTGATGTTACTGTACCGTTTAGTAAGGGGGTGGCGCTGCGGGTGTGATAGAGTGCAGAGCACATTGCGCCTTTCCGCATTGCCCCGTCGGTTCCGCATTGCCCCATCGATACCCCGCCAATCCGCGGGAATTAAGAAACGCTAGTGTGATACTACTGTACCTGTTAGTAGGGGATGCCATTGCGGGAGCGAAGTATAGAGTATACTGCTGCGTTCGTTCCGCAATGCCCCGCCGGTGCCCCGCCAATCCTCGGGAATAAGTGCCAGGAGTAAAGAAACGCCGGTGTGATATAGCTGTACCTGCAGTAAAGGGGCGCCGTTGCGGGCGTGCTTGCGCCGGTTCCGCATTGCCCGCCAGTACCACACCAATCCGCGGGAATATATGAGCGCTGGTGTGATAGTACTGTACCTGTTAGTAAGGGGATGCCGTCGCGGGAGCGATAAAGTATAGAGTACACTGCGCGGTTCCGCATTGCCTCGTCAGCACCGCGCCAAGCCGCGGGGATAAATAACCGCCGGTGTGATAATACTGTCCCTGTAGTAAGAGGGCGCCGTTGCGAGAGTGATAGAGCATAGGGTACGCTGCGCCGTTCCGCAAGTTACTGTGCCTGTAGTAAGAGGGCGACGTGCGGGTGCGACAGTACTACTGTAGTATAGAGCACACTGCGCGGGTCCGCATTGCCCCGTCGGTACCGCGCCAAGCCGCGGGAGTAAAATTAACGTCTAGAAGCGTGTTGGAGAGAGGCTGGGAATGGATTTGCTGGTAACGGTACAAGATTCCATGCGCCTTGTAACGCGTATCGGCGGGTCACTCGAAGGCGCGAATTTGCCGGACGGCCCGCCGCCTTTCCGGTTCTACTCCCTGTGGCTTCCGCCTCGTCTCGCGCAGCGGAATGGCACGGAGGGTCCGCCTGTTCCCGCGCAGCTGCAGCATGACGCGGCGGTTCCGCCGGTTCCACCCGTTCCGCCCGTTCCCGCAAAGGGAAATGACGCGGATCTTTTGCTTGAAGCCCCGCAAGCGGAACAGGTTTCGCGGGTCGGGGGAGAAGCGGTTAAGGATGAGCAGGGGGAAGGGGGGAAGAAGCGGGATGTGGTGGAAGCAGGGGGATGCTGCGGGGAGGGCGGTGGGGAGGGCGGTGGGAAGCGCGCCGGGGAGGGGCTATGGGGCGGTGAGTCAGAGGGAGCGGTGATGGGGGGGGTCGGTGGTGGGATGGGGGGTTGTCGTGTGGGGGTTTGCGGGTTACAGGGAGGACGGGAATGGGCAAGAGAGTTACATGCAAGGGGGAAAGAGGTGGGGGAAGGCCACGATGTGGGGATGGGGATAGAGATTGGGGAAGGGGGATATGTGGGGCTGGGGAACGAGGTGCGGGAGGGGGAAGAGGTGCGGAAGGGGGAAGAGGTGCGGGAGGGGGAAGAGGTGCGGGAGGGGGAAGAGGTAAATGAAGATGGGGATGGGGAGGAGTATGAAGTGGTGTCTGTGGAGGAGTGTGTAGGGGAGTGTGGGGTGGAGCGTGTGGGGGGGTGTGAGAGGGAGAGTGAGAGGGAGTGTGGGAGAGAGTGTGAGGAAGGAGAGGAGGATGATGATGTGGTGGAAGTTCCAATAGGGGACAACAGGTGGCGGGATATTAACGAGTTTTCTGGTGGGAGTGGCAAGGAGAAGGAATGCTTAACGAGGAAGGGAAGGAAGGAGGGAAGAGGGAGAAAGGAAGGGAAAAGAACGGTGGAGAAGGAGAAGAGGAAGGGGAAGACGAAGCAGAGAGAGAGAGAAGAGGAGAGGGAGAGGGAGGAGGGGAGTGAGAGGGAGGAGGAGATAGGGGAGGGGGCTTGTGAGAAGCGCTATGTGTGCAAAGAATGTGGGAAGAGTTGCTCTGGAGCTTTGTCGAATGATTTATAAACGTATTGTTTCGAACGCTTTTTTGAGAAAGTATAGTACGCTTTCCAAATGCTTTGTCGAATGCTTTTCAAATGCTTCTGCAATGCTTCTCAGTTCAAAGCTGCATCTTGAATACCTTCGACTTAAGTTTAATACGAGTTTTCCCAAAGTGATTTTGGAGATTATATCTCATTGCAATATACTCTTTAGTGAGTTTGTATGTTGAATTCATACTGTTTATAATTGGACATTCCACAAACGTTATTAATTTTAACATTTCATGATTCTTGTGTGATTGGGTTCAGATTTTGCATTAGTAGAAACGCCAGCATTATGTAAAATATATCCATAACACAATGGCAGATAAAAAGAATTAGAACTACTCTCGCCTATTGCCGGGGGTGATCTACGCCTTAAACATGATTTGGGCATGGTCTTAGCCGAAGACAGCACCTACTGCAAATCACCAAGCAACCCTTGCAGTTCACCATAAGAGTTAGCCATGAAATTTAAACCAGTGACATGTAAATTGAATGTTTACCAGAAAAAGGAGTGGTTGAAACCGGAGATTATTAGGAAATATAAAACCGCCTGCCAGCGAAATAAACGAACAAAAACGAAAGCGTTTCATTAGCTAGCAGTTTGGATAAGCGCAAGAGTAGGAACTAGCGCTTTCTTGAAGGAAACCGTGCGACCTGCACACGGGGATAACAAAGAATTAAAACGCGGAGAGAGATATGCACCGCGGAGCACAAGGCCTCACTGAGTAAACGGACTGCATGATAGTAGAAACACAGCCAACGACATTCGTTAGATAACAATTCCCGCTAATACAGAGAAGGATCTAACGTGGCCTTAATCAGAAAACAGCGCGACCTGGGCTTCGACCTGCATATGTTGATCAAGAGGAATTTAAACGAGGAAAGCACACTTACCACAGAGCACACACCTACACAAAGTAAACGGAGTGCACGAAGGGAGAGACACACAACCAATTAGGCGCACTCGTGGCAATTGCAGAAAATAACGAGCTACTGGGACGGTTGAGACTATGGCGACAGTTGAAACTACGGCGACGGTTGAGACAATGGCAACGGTTGAGACTATGGCAGCGGTTGAGATAACGAGATTGGAAAATGTGCTAAGGAAGAACTAAACTAAAATCAGTCACAGCCACTCTAGAATAACAAAAGGAGACCCCACTTCACCTTTTTTGTGCAAGCGTAACGGGTAGAGTGCAGGGAGGTGGTGTGGATGGGGTTGGTTAGTTGGCACAAGTGGTGGTGGTTGGGCTGGATTTTGTTGAGGTGGATGCAATGCCGGCTTTGATTGGTTGAACAAAGTGGTATGCTGAGCTGGATTGAATGAGGCGAATTTGGTTGGTTGGAGAGATTTCTGGCCTGGTTAGGGTTGGTTGGGAAAGTGTAATTGGGGGTTGGCAAATGCGCGTTAAGTTTGTACTGTAAAATAAAAATATCGGTTCAAAGCAGTCGTTGTAGTGTAGTGAGTTATAATATTCAGCTCTCATGTGAATGATCTCGGGTTCAATCTCGAAGTGGATTGTTTCTGGAATTGAATTTGTTCTTTTTAGCTTGTTCTTGGTAGCATAATTCATTTTTTTTTGCAGTGCATGTTGTCCCGTGCTGCAGAGACTCTGATGTGAACATGCTCAATAGGTTCATCTGGTGATGCATATTAAATTGCATCTACGTCGATAAACCATAACCGAGTTGGATTATAAAACACACCTTTTTCAACCTTATTATTGTTTCAACAATTAACATCTGACAAACATTCCATTGAAAGCATTGCAAAACCATTACTAAAACATCAGCAAAGCATTTGGCCCAAAAAAAATGATATACAAATGATATATAGATGATTCCAGGATGATTGTCAAACGATTTTTGAAAACTTGCTTAAAAAAAAATGGTCAAATGATTTCCATACTCACACATTTTTGTGATGCGTTTGGTCGGTGGGTGACTTTAGGCAAGCACCTGGGCACCTATTCGAAGCACCGTTCAAAGCAGGTGCGTTTTCCTCACTCACTCGCCCACTCGTGAGCTCATTCACTCACGCAGTCACCCACCTCTCCCCCCTCCCCCCCTTTCCCCTTCACTCACGCACTCACGCTCTCCTTCCCTCTCACACATTAGTGCCGGCTCTAGTGGCTTTCAAGTCAACTAGAAAACTACCCCTCGGCCTTCCACTCTTCCCGTCTGCCCCTGCTGTGTTTCCCCGTCTTTCCCCCTCGTCCCCTCTCTCCTGTCCCCCACTCCCCGTTCCGCTGCAAAGGACGGTTCTGTGTTGGCATGTGAACAGCCAGGCGGCATTCATTCAGTTTCCCCTCTTGCCGCCTGCACCTCTTATTGCCTGCCCCTCTTACCGCCGGCCCCGTTGCCCGTTCTGCAGCGAAGGCCGCGTGTGGGTTGCCTCAAGGCCTTCAAGTCACTTTACCCACTAACGGCCTGCCCCTCTGCCCACAATTGGCCCCCTGGTCCCCCCTTCTGCAGCAGAGTTCGTTCGTGTGCCCGCGGGGGGGTTGCCACAACGCCTTTAACTCACTTTCCCCTCTAACCGCCTGCCCCTCTTCCCACGATTGCCCTCTCATGCCCCCTTTTTGCAGCAGAGGTCGTTTGTGTGCCCGCGGGTGGGTTGCAACAGGGCCTTTGCCAATAATTGCCGGCTAACGAGGCACCTTCTTGTGCACAAACCCAATGCTTCTCGGGTGAGCTTTCCTTGTCCTCACCCCCTTTCATTCTCCCCCATTTGCCCAAGTTTTTGGTGACCGATTTGCTAACAAGGCACCTTCTTGTGCACAAACACAATGCTTCTGAGGTGAGCTTTCCTTGTCCAAGGCGTTTGTCAAGAATTACTGGAAAACCAGGCACCTATAAGTGCTTACTTACATTCCAGTGACTTTTGAGAATTCTCAAAAGTCACTCGAATATAGCACCTAACTGTGCCTACTTACATTGCCCTCTTACCGCCTGCCCTGCACCTCTTGAGGCACCTCAGAAGCCTATTTACATTCCATTCTTACCGCCCTGCCACCCCCCTATTCCTTCCCCTTTATATAATCAGCCTTCTGCCTTCCCTTTTTACACCATCCTCTTTCCTTGTTTCCTCTTCCTCTTCCTCTTGGCGTTCCTCTATCTCTCCTTATCCCCTTTCCTACTGCATCCTCCCATCTTCACTTGCATCTCTTCCCTCGCCTCGTCCTCCCGTTCTCTCCTATCGCCCCTTCCGCTTCAGAGCTCCTCCGTGTGTTCATTCATTCACATGCAAGCAGCCTATTTCGCCCAAAACCTTTCTTTCCTCTTCCCGGCTGCTGCTCATCTGTCACTGTCCTCATTTCTCTCCTCCCCGGCTGCAGACGTCGTTCGTGTGCCCACATGCTGACTGCAAGAAGGATTTTGCATCAGATTACCTCTTACAGAGGCACTTGATTATTCACGACCCAAATGCTCCTCAGGTGGGTTTCCCTCCAAATGCTCCTCAGGTGGGTTTCCCTCCATGCTGCTCAGGTGGGTTTCCCTTGCGCTCCCCCTCTCTACGCCCCCCTCCCCTTCCCCTTTCTATCGTCAACCTTCGATCTTCCCCTTTATCCTCTTTCCTTGTTCCTTCTCTTCGTCTCTTCACACTCCCTCCTCTTCCCCTTCCTTCCTCTTGGCGTTCCTCTTACTCCGTCCTCTCCTTTTTCCTTCACCGTTGCTTACTCCTGTCTTCACTCGCCTCTCCTTGTTACAGGATTTTCCATGATTACTTATATCTAGCAAACGGATTAAAAGCAAACATATTATCCTTATACGCGGATGTGTTTCTCCTTCCCGGCACCCTGCCTTGGTTTCCCTGTGTTCTCCCCCCATCCAATTGTCAAGCCACACCAATACCCTTGCTCCCTCTATCCCTCTCCCTGCCCCCGCAATCACCAGTACCCATGCTCTCACCATCCCTCTCCCTGCCCCCGCAATCACCAATACCCATGCTCTCTCTATCCCTCTCCCTGCCTCCGCAATCGCCAGTACCCATGCCCTCATCCCCACTGCTCTTGGACATTCAAGCGCCGATATAACATGGTGCGGCATGCAAGGACGGTGCATAGGGGGCAGGGAGGGATTGGCGAAATGGTACGGCATGCGAGGAAGCAGCATTGGGGGGTGATGGGGAGTGGGGGGGGCGGGGTGATTGGTGTGTTTGGCAAGGGGAGCGGGTGCGGAGTAAGGGGTGTGCGTTGGGGGAAGCGGGGGAAGAGGGCGCATGGGGTAGCAGTGGGGAGGCGAGGAGGCGAGAATAGGGCTGATGCTGTGAGTGGGGAAGAGGGAAGGAAGGGGGAGGAGAAGGACGAAGAGGGAAGGTGGGAGGAGGAGCGGGAAGATGAGGGAAGGAGAGGGGAGGAGAGGGACGAGGAGGAAAGAAGGGTGGAGGAGAGGGACGAGGAGGAAAGAAGGGTGGAGGAGAGGGGCGAAGAGGAGAGGGGGGAGGAGGAAAGCAACGAAGAGGCTTTCAGAAAGAAAGGCGAGCATGGAGGTGAGAGGCAATCAACTTATGTGAGTGGAGAAGAGGGAAGGAGCAGGGAGGAGAGGGAAGAAGAGGGAAAGAGAGGGGCGGAGATGGATGGAGAGGGGGAAGTACCCCTGTCGCTTTCTCTCACAGAGGGAAGGGGAGGGGAGGAAAGGGATGAAGAGGGAAGGGGAGAGATGGATGAAGAGGGAAGGGGAGGGGAGGAGATGGATGCAGCGGGGGACATACTCCTGTCACTACCTGTGCAGGAGGAAAGATGGGAGGAGGAGAGAAACGAAGAGGGTCCTAGGGAGAAAGGGGAACATGGAGGGGAGAATGAAGCGAGTGCTGTGAGTGGGGAAGAGGGGAGGAAGGGGGGGGAGAGGGATGAAGGGGGAGGGGGAGGGGAGGAGATGGATGCAGAGAAAGAAGTACCCCTGTCACTTCCTGTGCGGGAAGAAAGGCGGGAGATGGAAAGGTGGGAGGAGGAAAGGTGGGAGGAGAAAAGGAACGAAGAGGCTACTAGGGAGAAAGGGGAGCATGGAGAGGAGAAGGAAGCGAGTGCTGTGAGGGGGGAAGAGGCAAGGAGGGGGGAGGAGAGGGATGAAGAGGGAGTGAAGGGGATCGACAAGGGTGAGGAGGGAAGGATTGGGGAGGAGAGGGAAGAGGAGGGAAGGAAGGGGGAGGAGAAGGGCGAAGAGGGAAGGACAGGGGAGGAGAGGGACAAAGGGGCTTACAGGGAAGAAGGGAAGCATGGAGGTGAGACAGAAATGACTGACGTGAGTGGGAAAGAGGAAAGGAGAAGGGAGAATAGGGATGAAGAGGGAGGGTGGGAGGAGGAGGGGGATGAAGAGGAGAGGAAGGGGGGGGGCAATGTGGAGAAGGCAATGTGGCAGTTGCAAGAAAAGGGGATCGCAGTTGGAGGAGGGAGAGGGGAGGGGGGAGCTGATGCAGTGAGGACAGACGAGGAGACAGGAGCGCATCCGGTCCTTTTCAGGGAAGACGGTGTGGTGGGTTTTGCAATGAACCAGCTTCAGGTAGATGGTGCCGCGGTTGGAAGAGGGAGAAAGGAGGGGAAAGGCGATGCTGTGAGGGAAGATGAGAAGGAAGGAGCTCATTTGGTTTCTGTGGGGGGGAGATGGGGGGAGAGCGGTGTGGAAATGACAGTGGTCTGGCTTCAAGGGGAGAGTGGGGAGGGGAGGGAAGAGGAGGGAACCAATGCTGTGAGGGAAGACGAGGAGCGAGCACCGCTTCCCGTCCGTCCCGAGGGGGAGGGCTGCATGGGAAGTGGGGAATTGAATCAGTGTGAGAAAGAGGAAGAGGAGGATGCGTGTGAGGAAGATGGTCCAGATGGAATGGGGAAAGAGGAGGAAGTTGGGGAGGAGGCGGGGGAGGAAGTGATGGAAGATTTGGGGTTGGGAGAAAGTGGGGGGTTGGGAGAAGGTAGTTTGGCTGGAGAAGCTGAGGGGCTGGTGGAAGAAAGGACGGCGGGGATATGTGGGGAGAGAGGTAACGATTGGAGGGGGCAAGAAGAGGGTAGAGAAGAATCAGAGGAGGAGGGGGGTAGGGCAGAGGATAGAGGAGGATGGGAGAGGGCATATGAAGGAGGAGGAGGGGCGATGGAAGAGGAAAAGGGAGGAGGGAAGGGGAAAGAGGAAGGGGGAGTAAGAGACAGGGCAGAGGAAAGAGGGAAGTGGGAGAGGGAAAGAGAGGACATGGATGGAAGGAAGGAGGAAGATGCGGCGGGTGAGCAAGAGGTGCACACAAGTTGTGAGGTGCACACGAGTTGTGAGGCGCACACAAGTTGTGAGGCGCCCCAAACCACGGCGGCGCAGCAAGAGGAGGTGCAACAAGAGGGAGTGGGGCAAGAGGAGGAGGAGCAAGAGGGAGTGGGGCAAGAGGAGGAGGAGCAAGAGGGAGTGGGGCAAGAGGAGGAGGAGCAAGAGGGAGTGGGGCAAGAGGAGGAGAAACAAGAGGGAGTGGGGCAAGAGGAGGAGAAACAAGAGGGAGTGGGGCAAGAGGAGGAGAAACAAGAGGGAGTGGGGCAAGAGGAGGAGGAGCAAGAGGGAGTGGGGCAAGAGGAGGAGGAGCAAGAGGGAGTGGGGCAAGAGGAGGAGAAACAAGAGGGAGTGGGGCAAGAGGAGGAGATACAAGAGGGAGTGGGGCAAGAGAAGGAGAAACAAGAGGGAGTGGGGCAAGAGGAGGAGAAACAAGAGGGAGTGGGGCAAGAGGAGGAGAAACAAGAGGGAGTGGGGCAAGAGGAGGAGGAGCAAGAGGGAGTGCAGCAACAGGAAGAGCAGGAAGAGGAGGTGCAACAAGAGGAGGAGCAACAGGAGGAGGAGAAACAAGAGGAGGAGGAGCAATTGGAGGAGGAGAAAGAGAAGGAGGAGAAAGAGGAGCAGCAGCAAGAGGAGGAGGAGCAAGTGGAGGAGGAGAAAGGGAAGGAGGAGAAAGAGGAGCAGCAGCAAGAGGAAGAGGAGCAAGTGGAGGACGAGAAAGAGGAGGAGAAAGAGGAGGAGCAGCAAGAGGAAGAGGCGCAAGTGGAGGAGGAGAAAGAGGAGGAGGAGAAAGAGGAGGAGCAGCAAGAGGAGGAGGAGCAAGTGGAGGAGCACCAAAAGGCGCACAGAAGCATGCAGGAAGGGTGCAAGAGAAACAGGCGTGATGCAGAAAGAAGGACTTGCTTCGAGTCAGCACAAAGCGTTCAAGATCAGTGGATGAGCCACGAGCGTGCAGCACCAGCTGGCGCACCCCGAGGGGAGGGATTTACAAGGAGAGAGGCGGTGAGAAAGAGGAGGCGTGTTGGAGGAGTGGAAGAGGAGGGGTCTGGTTCCAGGAAAAGCCACCTGAGAAGTCACCTGAGGAAGCCAAAGAGGTACCTGAGTATGAAGGTACATTTCTTTCTGGGGAGGAGAGGTTGCCGATGCAAGCTGAGGAAACACCTGAAGGCAACAGAGGTGGGGCACCTGGAGCAAGAAAAAGAGATTCTGGAGGAGGAAGAGATTCACCTCAGGCAGAAGGAAGAGCACCTGAAGCAACAAAACGAGCACCTGAGGCAGCAGGAGGAGCACCTGAAGCGTAAGAGGCAGCAGTTGGAGCTTCAGGTGAGACGCACACAGATTCGGAAGGATCGCCTGGGTTGCTGTTGTGTATGTGCTTGTGGTTTGGAGGGTGGGGTTGAGGAGAGGGATGAGGGAGGGTGGTGAAAGATGAGAGAGAAGAATGGTGGGGTGAAAGATGGAGGGAGTGGAGGGGGGGGTATGGTGAAGAATTGAGAAAACAAGGGAGTGGTGAGTGGAGGGAGAGGAGGTGGGGGTGGTGGTGAAAGGAGAAGAGAGAGAGGATGGAGCATGGTTTTGGGGGAGGAAGGGGAGAGGTTGGAGGAAGGCGGGGGGGAATGCAGGAGACAACCAGGAGAAGCACCCTGCACCCCACGTGCCCCACCCTGGCGTAACCATATTGTTGGGCTGAGAATTTCAGCCTTAGGATCTTTGCAGAGAATAGGCTAGTAAGTGCTAGAGTAGCACAGCGGAAGTCTTGAGTGAATGTACTTGTGCTGGTATGTGAGAACAAGTAATTGATTAAAGTAAAGGGCATACAGGAATATATAGAAAAGATAGATTACAAGGAACGGTTATGTTTATCGAGACGCGTAGCGCTTTGACTATCGAGGTGGTTACTGTTCACTGAAGCGTCGCTTGCTGTTACGTAACCTCCAGGCGGTTACAGCTCGCAACCTCTAGTTGCGGTTTGATGTGGTACGCGCCTTTTCGACTTCGTACTCCTTTTGTTGTGCTTCAGTATCGGGTGAGGTTCGATACTACAGAAACGCACTAAGTCATGCGTTTATTTTCCCAACACTCCCCTTCGTTTCTGGAGTGTCGACGTGGTCAGCTTCGGTGACGTGGTCCAATCCGGTGAGCAGCATGCAGTACTCGAATTTCCCCTTTGGTAGCTTCTTGGTGAGATAATCTGCTGCCATCTCGGTGGTCGGGCAGTAATCCAGCTGGAGTTTTCCTTTCTCGATTTCGTCTTTCACGAAGAAGTATCGCAGTGCGATATGCTTGGTTCTGTTGGCGAAGCCATTCTTGTTCGCGATCCGTATCGCGGACTGGTTGTCGCTGAAAAGCGAGAAGCTGGGTACTTTCGCAATTTTCGCTTCTTCCAGCAGTTCGCGCAGGTACAGGCCCTCCTTGGTAGCAGTGCAGAGAGCAATATACTCTGCTTCAGCAGATGATAGTGCGACGAGTTCCTGCTTACTTGATTGCCAGGAGATAGTTCCGACGGGCTCAAGACGGTAGATGTAGCCGGTGCGAGAGCGACGATCGACACGATCAGCAGCATGATCAGCGTCGACGTAGCCGAGTAGTTTTAGGTCGGTCGTCGTGTTCTTGTGATATGTTAAGCCAACTGTTGGCGTCGAGATGAAGTAGAGAAGGGCACGGTTGAGTTCCTTGAGGTGACGTTGTTCTGGGCGCTTGAGGTAGGTCGCTAGTTGACTGGCGCTGTAGGATAAGTCCGGTCGGCACGTAACGGCGGCAAAGAGTAGGCAGCCCAGTTTCTGTTGATATTCCTGGATTTCAGTAGGCGACAGTGGGTTGGTTTCTTCGGTTGGATCGAGCGATAGGTGACTGTAGGGTGTTGCGATGTGCGTCGGTGTGATGCAGAAGCGTTCGGCGATAGTGCTTGCGTATTTTGAGGCGCTGAGACGAATAGTGTTGTCTTCATCGAGGATATTGAGCCCTAGATACTGCGTGACGTTGGGTGAGACTGTGAGGGAGAGATCTGTCTGAAGCTCCTTTTCGAACCAGGTGACGATGGTGGTAGTTGACCCGATGTAAAGCAAATCGTCGACGTAGACGATTAGCAGAACGTAGTCGTTGTCGCGAGTGAGACGATACATGCCCTGGTCATGGGGCAGTTGGTTGAATCCGATGCGTTTGAGTCGTGCGTGCAGGTACTGCTGCCAGAGTCGCGGTGCTTGCTTAATTCCGTATAGTGATTTTAGTAGTTGGCAGACGAGGGAAGGGTCGTCGACGAACCCGTGGGGCTGTTCGACGAAGATTTCAGCGTCGACTGGGGCGTATAGAAAGGCGTTGGCGACATCGATTTGTCGGAGTGGGCGGCGGCGTGAGGCGGCGATGGCGAGAAGTATGCGCAGGGAAGTATGTCGACTGACTGGTGCGAAGGTTTCAGTGAAATCGCGACCATACTCTTGGTCGAATCCGCGGACGACCCATCGAGCTTTAAACCGTTCGATGGTTCCGTCGGAGTTGGTTTTGATCCGGAATACCCATTTTCCGGAGAGAATGGGTTTGTCTTGTGCGAGTGATGCAGGGACGATCTTCCAGGTGTTGCGGTCTGAGAGCGCTTTTAACTCCTTTTCCATGGCTTCGCGCCATTTTTCTTTGTGTTCCCCCCCCAGAGCCTGCTTGACAGAGCGAGGCTCTTCAGGTGGCGACGAAGTCCCGTGCACTGCAGCGACGAGTCCCAGGACTTGGAGTCCGCTGGGGGTGTGACGATTCAGCAAAGGGTCCTCGGGATAGACTGCTTCGTCTCCCGCTTCAGGATCAGGTGCGAATCCGGGGCCGTATCTCTCAGAGATGTCGGTGTTGACGGGTTGGGGTGTTACGTAACCATTGTCGGCGAAATGGTAGTAGGCGTCGGCATTGTTACTGTCGCGAGGGTTTTCCTCGTCCATGGGGATTGGGACGGAGCAGTAAGGAAGGGGTCCAGCAGCTTCGGAAGCGCCATCGACGTTCTCTTCTTCCCAGTCAGCAGCATCAGAGGGTGAAGCAAAGGCTCGGGAACCAGAAAATCCGCCGGTGGGGTCGACGTGGCGTGCGATGTTGTCCAGGTAATGGTTGAGGGTGAGTCGCTCGTAGAAGATAACGTCACGTGCTGCTACTGTTTCCTTTGTGTGGACGTCGAAGATTCGCCATGCTTCGTAATATTTTGCCAGCCCGAGGTGTAGACCCCACTGTGCACGTTGCGAGAATCTCCCTGCGCGTGCAGTGTGTGGGCGGTACTGTACCATACACCCAAAAACTCGTAACATTTTTGTGTTGCCCAGCTTCCCAGTCCACAACAGGTGCGGAGATGCGTTGTTGGGCAGTGATGACGAGGACAGCAAGTTGTGCAGGAGGACAGCGTGGTCCATCGCTGCTGGCCATTCTGAGTTGGGCAGTCGAGTTCCACGTAGCAGCTTTCGCATGGTTGTCTGCAGGGTCCTGTTCATCCTTTCTGCCACACCCTGCTGTTGGTGAGCGTAAGGAAGAGAGATGAGGCGTTTGATGCCTCTTTCTGCCAAGAACTGTGTGAAGCTGTTTGACTGGTACTCCTTTGCGCCATCTGACTGAAAACTCTTCAGTTTCGCTCCTGACTCTCTTTCAGCAACAGGTAGCCAGGCTGTGAAGGCTTCTAGAGCCATGTCTCGTGACGGTAAGTTGACGTGCCAGACATATCGCGTTGCGGCGTCGATGAAGGTGATGACGTAGTTCAGATCTTCACGTCCTTCCGTTCGAGGTATGTATAGTATGTCGCTGTAGACTTTCTCGAGTGGTTGATAAGCGGGGGCGCTCGGATTGTGGTGTGACGGGAACGGTTGGTGAGGCAGATCTGCTTCCGGGCAGATGAAGCAGGTGCCGCGTGGTCGTTCGAGTTCTCGTCCGTTGGGAAGAAGTAGGGCGTTCTTATCTAACACTCCGGCTCGTATTGTATTGTAGAGTGTTGTGTTTCCAGGATGTCCAAGACGTTGATGCCATATGTCTTCGGAGGCGCTGTGACCTACGGAGCGTCGATAGAAGTCTGCGTTAGCGAAGAAGGCGGCGTGAGTTGCTGCACTTCGATGGACGGCGCGTGGTGCTGGCGTTAACTGTTGGGCGGCTGTCGGTGGCGTGTCGATGATGAGAGGTGGAGGTGCGACGGAGGGACCGAGCTGTAGAGTTTCGGTAGGTTGTTCCGCGACGACGGTTGGTTCTTCAATTGCAGGTTCGGAGGTTGTTGGTGTTGTGACGGGTGCAGTTGTTGTTTCGATGACGGGTGCTGACTCAGGTGTTGTGGCTTGTGTTTGCAGGACGGCAAGCGCGTTGGTGCGTTCAGCTTCGGGAATGGTACGAGAGTACCAGAAGCCTTCAGGACTGAAGTTCGGGTCGAGGTCTGGCGGATGCGTCCAAGGTGCGAGAGCGACTATACCGTCGCTGTCTGCGGTGCCTTTGTCGGGGACGAAGTCGAGGACGAACACGTCATCTTGTTGGATTGCACGGCCGATGAAGACCCCCCCTTTTCCGTGGTAAAGACGGATTTCCAGGGCGTCGGAGTCGCACTCCAGGTGAACGCCTTTCGACATGAGTTGGCTGACGCTCAGTAAGTTAAAGCCGAGGTTGTCGACGACGAGTACTTTGTTTAATTGAAGAATAACGTTTGTTTCGTTTGACTGAAGCTCCACGACTCCTTGTTTGTTGGTGCGCAGGTTTTCGTTGTTGGCGATGGTGATGATGACGTCTCGCGGAAGACGTCGTTCGCGCTGAAGAAATCGTGATGAAGAGCACATGTGATGACCGCAACAACTGTCGAGGAACCATGTGTCTGGTCCGGTGGGTGCACGGTTCGCGATGGCGGCGTACGTTGGATTCACGTTAAGGGACGATGGTGGTGGTGATGGTTGCTCATCAGGACTGTAAGTTGGTGGAGAGCCGGTAATGCACGAGTCGATGTTTGACTCTGTTGTTCGTGCCATGGCGACGATTCTTGGTGTCTGTGCAGGTCCCGAAGTGGAGGTTGACGGTCGTGTTGAAGTAGTCGTTGAGGCGGTAGCGGGTCGCTGTTGAGTTGACGCGATGTGGGGAGGCACTGGTCGCAGAGGACGAGAGAATGGTGCTGGTTGTCGTTGTTGCTGAGGGCAGTTGAAGCGTGTGTGTCCTGAAGTCCGACAAAGATGACAATAGGGAGGTACGTGTCCTCGATTTTGGTAGCGTGGCTGTCGTCGATTGGTGTAAAGAACGATTGGTTGATGATGCCTTTTGTTGTTGCGTTCTTCGAACAGGTCCATTTCCTGCTGCTCGGCGTGAAGTTCGGCGCAGAGATGCATTTCGGAGAGTCGACCGTGAGCGCGAAGAAGTGAGCGGGTGGTGCGCCACTGAGGTCCAAGGCCGGCAAGAACGACGGTTACGAAAGCTTCTTCAGATAAGTTTCCTCCGCAGCGAATGAGTCTGTCGCGTAGTCCTTGACAGCGACTGATGTAAGGCATGGCCTTTTCTCCAGGTTGCATTTGAACTGTTGTTAGTTGTGCCATGAGTCGGCTTTGCGTAACGCTGTCGGATGCTTGATGAATACTTCGCAGATGTTGATAAGCGAGTTCCGCGGAGTTTGCGTAGTTCCGGTAGGCGCGGATGCTTTGTTGTTCATTCGGCGACAGGTTTCGGAGAAGAACGGTGTAAGCCATGAGGGAGTGATACGTATAATTTTCTTTGTCCTTGTCTTCGCCGTTGTGTGGATATGGCCAGGTACCGTTGAAGAAGCCAAGAAGATTCGCGCCTTCCATCAGGAGTTCAAATTCGAAGCTCCAAGAGTAGAAGTCCTTCCCGTTGAATGGTGTGGATGTGTGCAATCGTAGGATGTTGTTGAACTGTGCTTGTACTTGCAGGACTTCTTCGGGGTCTCGTTTGATGGCGGGAAGAGGAGTCGCTGGATGGCGGGGCGGCATGAACGTGAAGGAACCAGGTGAGACCGAATTGGTGTTTGTTGATTGTGTCGTCCGAACGATGAGTTGTCAATACTCATTGGTGCCGCTCCGTTGTTTACGCTGTTGCTGTTTGCAGGTTGTGAGGACTGCTGCTGCGACATGAAGTTGAAGAACTCCTCCATTAGGCTTGGGTTGAAGATTGGCGGCGCCACTGGTGCTTGAGTGGAGCGTTCCGTCGCTTCCGGTGTTAATCCGGGCGTTGTTCCTCCTTCGGTCTGCAACTCGGAGACCGGGGGTAGAGTAGATCCCGTAGATGATCTTCTTTCTTTGCCACTTGCCATGTCTTGCCTTTCTTGAGTGAAGGTTGAACTTCTTGGTCGTTTGCAGATTGGTAGCCTGAAAGAGGCTTAATGACGAGAGCCTTTGTTCTCTGACTGCTCTCATACCATGTTGGGCTGAGAATTTCAGCCTTAGGATCTTTGCAGAGAATAGGCTAGTAAGTGCTAGAGTAGCACAGCGGAAGTCTTGAGTGAATGTACTTGTGCTGGTATGTGAGAACAAGTAATTGATTAAAGTAAAGGGCATACAGGAATATATAGAAAAGATAGATTACAAGGAACGGTTATGTTTATCGAGACGCGTAGCGCTTTGACTATCGAGGTGGTTACTGTTCACTGAAGCGTCGCTTGCTGTTACGTAACCTCCAGGCGGTTACAGCTCGCAACCTCTAGTTGCGGTTTGATGTGGTACGCGCCTTTTCGACTTCGTACTCCTTTTGTTGTGCTTCAGTATCGGGTGAGGTTCGATACTACAGAAACGCACTAAGTCATGCGTTTATTTTCCCAACACATATGAACAAAGCTAGCAGTATATAAGTATGCATGCGAAACAAATTATTTATACAAAGTAATGTAATGCGAAACAAAATAAGAGTTTTGTAATGTCATGCGAAACAAAATATTTACACAAAAACGAATATTTTACATTTTTTATTTCAGAAAATTTGATTGTTATGTGACGTACGTACCTCACTATCTCCCTTGCTCCCCCTTCCATAAATCTATTACGTTGTACAGAAACGTGTAAATATGTATATATGGAATTCACATTTCCAAATTGTTTTCTTCACCTGCGCCATTAGTGCGGGCAGCCAATGTCGGAGCCCTGATGCAACAATTCGCCACCCCCATGGCAGGGAATTCTCGTCCCAGCTTTTGCTGGCAAGAGGGGTGCGAATTTCGAAAATTGCGCGATTTGGCACGGCTGTTCGCCTCGAACAGACAGAAACGGTCCCGTTTCTTTCCCATCAGCATTCTTATCGTTTCCCGCTAGAGTGCGAGGGGGAGGGGGAGAATATATGTTAGAGAGGAGGGGCATATCGGGAGAGTGCGGGGTCATGTTTGATGCACGGCGCGGTGCGTGGTCGCACGAGCGGGAATCTTGAGGCGCCTAAAAAATCGAACGAGCGGGATTCTAGTGCAGAGCGGCGTAGCGGAGGCGATTAAACCGCGCCAGTGTGATAGAAACACGCTTTTTATGCGGGAAAATATTTTCACAGTGTAGTTGACTGGTGATCGACTCGCAAGTCACCTCGGGAAATAGCAAATCACGTCTAGTAGGGTGCTAGGCTGCTTGCGAGAGGGCGGGAATTACTCCCACGTGGAACGGACGGCAGATTCGTGATGGACTCGCGGCGGGATGCAAGCGAAATTCCAACGGGCATCGGCGCGGCTGTCGTACCACGCGATTCCCTTCCAACGGGCATCAGCGTGATTCTCGGACTTGAGAATTCGCGGAACGCCCCCCCGCCTCTGCGACGCTACGCGCGGCGGTTCTCGCCTCGCCTGGCGCAGCGGAATCGCGCGGAGCTTCCGCCTGTTCCTGCGCAGAGGCGGAATGCGAGGGGGGTTGTGCCGGTTTGGCCCGTCCTGCACGGTCCGCCCGTTCCGCCTGTTCCCGCGCGGGGGGATGGCGCGGAGGCTGCGGTTGAAGGCGCGCGGGCGGAAGAGGTTCCGCGGGTTGGGGGAGCAGCAGGGGAAGCTGGGCAGGGGGGAGGGGAAGAGGGGAGGGATACGGTGGAAACAGGGGGATGCCGCGGGGGAGGTGGCAGGAGGGGGTTATGGGGTGGTGGGAGGGTGGGAGGAGTGCTGGCGGGTGATGGTGGTGGGATGGGGGAGGGTCGAATGGGAGTTGGGGGAGAGGTGGGGGAAGATGGGGATGGGGATGAGGGCAATGTGGAGTGGGTAGGAGAGGACGAGGAGGGTGTTTGGGAAGTGACAGTGGGGGAGAGCAGAGATTTTGATGGTAAAGTGTGTGATATTAATGAGTTCCTCTGTAAAAGTGGGGAGGAGAGGGAAAAACGTACACGGCCGACAAGGGAGGTGGAGGGTGGGGAGGGAGAGAGGGGGGCAGGTAAGGTGAAGAAGGGGAAGCCAAAGGGGAAGGGGAAGGAGAGTGGGGAGGGGAAGGAGAAGGAGAAAGGGGAGAGGAAGGGGAAGAAGGAGAGGGGGAGGGTTGGGCATGACTACACGTGTAAGGAGTGTGGAAAGGCGTTTCCTCTGTCGGCAAGGTTATGGAATCACATGGCCACCCACTCGAAGAAGGTGTGTGTGTGCTTCCCTCCCTCACTCCATCACTCACGCACTCACTCACTCACTCGCACACTCACTCACTCTCTCCCTTCAACTCATACTTTCCCACTCGTTTAATTCTCGTTCAGTCCCCTCCATCCCTTCTTGCAGTTCGTCTGTCCACATGCCAATTGCCAAGGAAGCAGCATCCGAGGAAGCAGCAGTGCGGTCGAATAGGTGCGAGCTGTTTCTCTACAATTCCTTTTTCCGTCCCTTCAATGCCCCGTCCACTGCAGTTCGTCTGTCCACATGCCAACTGCCAAAAGGCTTTCGCATTCAAGTACAAGTTGAAGGATCATCTTCTCCTTCACAACTCCAATGCCCCCCAGGTGAGCTTCTCTCGCTCCTTCTCTCCTTCCAAATCCCATTCCTCCCTCTTCCCCCCCCTCTCCCCCCTTCCTCTCCCCCCTCTGTCCCCTTCCTCTTCCCCCTCTCCCCCCTTCCTCTCCCCCCTCTGTCCCCTTCCTCTCCCCCCTCTCCCCCCTTCCTCTCCCCCCTCTGTCCCCTTCCTCTCCCCCCTCTCCCCCCTTCCCCTGCCCCCTTCTCCGTTTCCACAAGTTGACAACCCCAGCATCTTCCCCAATGCCCCCCAAGTAAGCTGCTCTCGTTCTCTCCCCCTCTTTTTTTTTTTTTCCTTTTTCCTCTTCCTCTCCTCTGGCTCCCTCATAATCCTTGTCCACTTCCCCGTCCCCTTCAAAAATTGTGGCTCCCTTTTGTTTTCCTTCGCTCCCTCATAATCCTTTCCTTTTTCCTTTCCCAGCATTTTCCTTTTTCCTCTTCCTCTCCTCTCGCTCCCTTATAATCCTTGTCCACTTCCCCGTCCCCTTCAAGAATTGCGGCTTGTATGTGGCCTCCCTGTTTTCTATCCCCGGCCGCACCCTCCCCGCAATCACCAGCACCCATGCCCTATCCCCACTGCCCGTGGACATTCAGTCGTCGAGGCAACATGGTGCGGCATGCAAAGATGCTGCATTGGGGCTTTATCAAGGCGTCTTGTGTTTCCTCTCCCTGTTTTCTATCCCCACCCCCCACCTCCCACCACCAAACCACCAGCACCCATGCCCTCATCCCCTCTGCTCTTGGACATTCAGTCGTCGAGGCAACATGGTGCGGCATGCAAAGATGCTGCATTGTGAGGAGTGTGGGATTGCGTTTTCTCAAAAGGCCAAGTTCAAGAAACACATGGCCACCCACTCAAAGCAGGTGTGTTTCCCTCACTCTCTCACTCACTCACTCGCTCCCTCATTCACCCTCTCACTCTCTCTCTCCCGCACTCACTCTCTCACTCTCTCACTCTCCCACTCTCCCACTCACTCATTAAATCTCTCGCTCTCTCGACCACTCACTCACTTTGCTCGCTCATTTGCTCACACACTCATTCATCCTCTCCCTATCTCACACACCCTCTGGGCGCCTTGTCTGTGATCCTGGCTCGACATGTTTTCCTGTCTGTCTTACCCTCGTCCCCTCGTCCGCAGTTGACTTTTGAGTCGACTCAAAAGTCAACTTGTCTGTGATCCTGGCTCGACATGTTTTCCTCATGTGCCCTCATTGCCTGTCTGTCTTACCCTCGTCCCCTCGTCCGCATGTTCCCTCATTGCCTCGTCGCTTCCACTGCATCAGTTGGTGTGTCCGTCCGCATGAAAATGGGTCAAAGAATAGGCGCAAATGTTCTTGCTTCCTTCCCTCGTCCACTGCAGTTCGTGTGTCCTCATGAAAATTGCCCAAAGGCATTCGCACTCAACTGCTGGTTGACGAGGCACCTTCTAGTGCACAACCCTAATGCCCCCCGGGTAAGTTTTCCTCTCTCATTCTCTCCTCCTCGCTCCCCACCTCCCTCTCCATTCCCCTTTTCTCCTTGCGGCTCCCCCCTGCCCCCGTTCCTCTTCTCCCTATTTCCTTTCCTCGTCCCCCTGTTCCCTTTCCTCTCCCTTTTCCTCCTCTCTCGCTCCTCCTCTTTCTCTCCTCTCACTCCCTCCTTGTCCTCGTCCCCTTCCACCATCCCTCCCTGTCCATATTGCATCTTCCCATCCCATCCCCTTTGCTTTCTTCACCCGTCCTCCCTCTCTCGCCTCTCCTACGATGTCGTCAACTTCTCTTGAGCTCTGCTTCTGCTTCTATCAAGGAGACATGGAGTTTACTGCCGTCAGCAGTCCCATTTGCCTGATTGCAAGGAAGCAGGTTCGAGGTGACTCTTAAGCGACTGAAAAACTGTCGTCAGCAGTCTGATTGGTCTAATTGCAAGGATGCCACGATGCGGTCTAATTGGTGCTGTTCAATTCTCCGCTACCTGTTCTCTTCCCCACCCCCACTCTCTCCGGTATTCACCAGCACCCGTGTCCTCATCCCCATTGCTTTTGAGGCGCCTCAAAAGCACCCATGCCCTCATCCCCTCTGCTCTCGGACCTTCAAGCGTCGAGACCACATGATGCATCATGCAAGGAAGCAGCATGCAAGGGTGCTGCATTGTGCCTTATTCAGGGCGTCTTGAGTTTCCTCTCCCTGTTTCTCTTCCCACCCCCCACCCCCCCCCCTTTAATCACCAGCACCCATGCCCTCATCCCCTCTGCTCTCGGACCTTCAAGCGTCGAGACCACATGTTGCATCATGCAAGGAAGCAGCATTGCGGAGAGGGGGGAAGAGGGGAGAAGCTGCAGCGTGCAAGGAAGCAGCGTTGTCAGGAGGGGGGGAATGGGGGGAATGGGGGCATGGCACGGCTTGTAGGTACGCAGTTGACTTTTGAGTCGACTCAAAAGGCTTTTCGGCAGGAAGGGGGGCGTGAAGGTGCTTTTGAGTCGACTCAAAAGTCAACTGGGGACATGGCGCGTCTTGTAGGTACGCAGCATGGCACGGAAAGGAGTGGAGGGAGGGTAATTGGTGTGTCTGGTGGGGTGGTGGGGAGCGGGGGTTGGGTAAAGAGTGTGCATGAGGGGAAGAAGGGGAAAAGGGCGGATGGGGGAGAGGTGGGGAGGCATGGAGGCGAGAAGGAGGGTGATTTTTTCAGTAAGGGAGAGGGAAGGAGGGAGGAGGAGGAGAAGGGCAAAGAGGCGAGGGGGGAGGAGAGGGAAGGAGAGGGAAGGAAGGGGGAGGAGAGGGAAGAAGAGGGGAGGAGGGGGGAGGAGAGGGAAGAAGAGGGGAGGAGGGGGGAGGAGAGGGAAAAAGAGGGGAGAAGGGGGGAGGAGAGGAAGGAGGAGGCGAGGAGGGAGGAAGAGGCGAGGAGGGAGGAAGAGAGGGAAGAGGGAACGAGGGGGGATGAGAGGGGCGAACAGGGAAAGAGGGAGGAGGAGAGGAACGAGGAGGCTTTTCGGCAGGAAGGGGGGCGTGAAGGTGAGGAGCGAACGAGTGCAGTGAGGGGCAAAGAGGGAAGGAGCGGGGAGGAGAGGGACGAAGAGGGAATGGGAGGGAAGGAGAGAGATGAAGGAGGAAGGGGAGGGGAGGAGAGGGATGAAGGAGGAAGGGGAGGGGAGGAAAGAGATGAAGGAGGAAGGGGAGGGGAGGAAAGAGATGAAGGAGGAAGGGGAGGGGAGGAAAGAGATGAAGGAGGAAGGGGAGGGGAGGAGAGGGACGAAGAGGAGGATCCCCTACCCTTTCTTCAAAGGTGTGGCCATGTGGAGAGCAGCGTGGGAAGGGCAGTGACACAGCTTCAAGAAGGTTTTGGCACGGCTGGGGGAGGGACGGGGGAGGAGGGAGCAGATGCTATGAGGGATGAAGAGGAAAGGAGAGGGGACGAGAGGAATGAAGAGCAGGAATTAGTACCTCATCGGCTCCCTTCTAAGGGGGAGGGAAATGATTGTGGAGGGCGGTGGGGAGAGGAAGGGGCACCCCAATTCCAATTCCTTCCTCCCAGGGGGGAGGTCCGCATGGGGGAGGCAGTGATGCTGCCGTCTCAAGGGGAGGGAAGCGCGGCTGGAGGAGGAAGAGCGGAGGGGGGGGCTGGGGCGGAGAGTGGAGAGGAGAGGTGGCAGCCTGGGGGGAGAGCGGGGAGGAGTGCGCGTGGAGGATGGAAGGGGGAGGGGGGAGCTTCTGGGGATGGTGGGGGAGGGCATAAGTATGAGGTGAAGGAAGAGGAGGAGGATGGGTGTGACGTGGATGGTCGAGGTGAAGTGGGGAAGGGGAAGGAAGTGAGGGAAAATGGGGCTGGGTTTGAGTCGGTTCAAAGCATTCGAGAGCGGTGGAGGAGCAACGAGCGTGCAGAGCGTGCAGCAACGAGTGAGGCCCATAGAAGAGGGTTGCTGCGAAGGGAAGCGGTGAGGAGAAAGCAAAGGCCTGTTGGAGGAGTCGTTGAGGGGGAGAGAGGCATTGGGAGTGAGGGAGCTGGTTACAGGAGAAAGCGAAGGCGTGTTGGAGGAGTCATTGAGGGGGAGGGCGCTGGTTACAGGAGAGGCTACCTGAAAAATCACCTGAGGCAGCAGAAGAGGTACCTGAGCACGAAGGTGCATCATTTTGTGGGGAGGAAGGGGCGGCGATGCAAGCTGAGGAATCACCTGAAGGCAACAGAGAAGAAGCACCTGAGGAGGAAGGAGTTTCTCCTGAAGGAGGAAGAGGTCCATCTGAGCCAGAGGGAGGAACACCTGGACAAACAGAAAGAGCACCTGAGACAGCAGGGGGACCATATTAGAGAACAGAAGGAGCAGCAAGAGTTGCACCTGAGGCAACAGGAGGAGCATCTGAAGCAACAGAACGAGCACCTGAGGCAGCAGGAGGACCATTTGAGGGAACAAAAGGAGCAGCAAGAGTTACACCTGAGGCAGCAGGAGGAGCAACTGAAGGAACAGGACGAGCACCTGAGACAGAAAGAGGCTCAGATAAGGGAACAGAGGGAGCAACAAGAGTTGCACCTGAGGCAGCAGGAGGAACACCTGAGGCAGCAAGAGGAGCACCTGAATGACAGGGAAAACCACCTGAAACGAAAAAGGCAGCACCTGGAGCTTCAGGTTAGGTGCACGCGAAGACGGAGGGATCGCCTGAATCGTCGCTCTGTACGTTCTCGGGGTTCGGGAAAGGAGGCGGTGGTGAGTGGTGGAGAGAGAGACATGCAGATTCGGAGGGATCGCCTGCGTCGTCGCTCTGTGCGTTCTCGTGGTTTGGGAAGGGGGGTTGGGGTGGGTGATATGGAGGGGGTGGGGTTGGCGGAGGATGGAGGGAGGCGAGGAGTGGTGAAGGATGAGATAGAAGAGTGGTTGGGGTGAATGATGGAGGGAGTGGAAGAGGGGTGTGGTATAGGGTGGAGGGAGGGGAGTGAATGGTGAAGGATGAGGAGAGAAGGGGGGAGTGGTGAGTGGAGGGAGAGGACGTGGGGATGCGGGTGAACGGACGGAGGGAAGGAAAAGGGAAGGAGAAGAGAGGAGGGAGCATGGTCCGACCTAGTGAAGGAAAGGGAGAGGTTGCAGGATGGCTGGGAGGGAGAACTTATTGTTAGGTGTTGGAAGATCCTTGTATAGTCCAACATCAGGGATCACTGAGGAGATATCTATACAGGTTGACAGGAATTACCGCCATGATGGGGATTGGAGAAGCTAGGCATCCATACAAGGAGTTCGTCACGTTACTCTATGTTTGCTCTTTGGCAATCCATTGCAAAGGATTGCCCCCCGTGCACTGCATTCTGGTTTTGAGACATCTCAACGTCTCAAAACCCTTCAGTTGCCGTATCATGGAACGCTCCCAGTGTATTGCATCTTGTACAGGAGGCTTGTGCGGTGTGCTCTGTTATTCTTCGCTTCTTTATTGCCTGGTTAATTTCGCAATTGCAAGTGCTAGATCTTAATCTGAGCTCGTTTAAGTGATGTAGGTACCATAGCTCGAATTCCCCCCTATCAAAATATTCAGGCTGTTGGAAAATCGGTAGTATATGTATCTCGTCCAAATGCTTTTACGAATGTTTTCTACCCCAGCACTTTCTAACGCGGATTAGTCAATGTCGCAATTGTACTGCGGTGCCAATTTCCCAGCATTCGCGTTTTGCCCAGTTTCTATGATCATCGATTCTTCTTGCTGCGCTGCGGACAGTTTGAACGGGTTCGATATAGGAAGTGCAAGGCACGTATAGCGCGCGGTGTGATATTGCTATACTCTCAGTAAGGGGGCGTCATTGCGGGTGCGGTAGAGTATGCGCTGCATTGCGCGGGGCTAGGTGTACCACGCGGATGTGATATAGCTATACTCTTAGTAAAGGGGCGCCGTTGCGGGTGTGACAACTAGAATAGAGTACACAGCGCCGTTCCGCATCGCTCCGTCGGTACCACGCCAATTCGCGGGAGTAAATAACCGCCGGTGTGACATTACTGTACCTGTAGTAAGGGGGCCGCCGTTGCGGGTGTGATAGAGTAACGAGTACACTGTGCCGTTCCGCATTGCCCCGTCGGTACTGCGTTGTCCCGCCGCCACGAAGCCGTTCCACATTGCTCCGCCGTTCCGCGTTGCTGCGCCGTTCCGCGTTGCTGCGCCGTTCCGCGTTGCTGCGCCGTTCCGCGTTGCTGCACCGTTCTGCGTTGCTGCGCCTTTCCACATTGCTGTGCCGTTCCGCATTTCTGCGGCGGTCCTCATCGCCCCATCGGTACCGCCCCACGCCATTCCGCAAGAATAAATTAACGTTTGGTAGGGTGCTAGAGATAAACCGCGAATGGACTCGCGGGACTGCGTGCACCTTATAACGGGTACGTGCGGGCCACTCGGACGCGAGAATCCGCGGGACGGCCCGCCGCATTTCCGGTGCTACGCTCGGCGGTTCTCGGATCGTCTGGCGCAGCGGGATGGCGCCGAGGTTCCGCCTGTTCTGCCGATTTCCGCGCAGCGGCGGGACGACGCGGCGGTTCCGCCCGTTCCCGCGCAGGGAAATGACGCGGAACTTCCGCATGAAGCCGTGCAGGCGGAACGGGTTCCGCGGGTTGAGAAAGTAGCGGTTGAGGGTGGGCAGGGGGAAGGGGGAAAGGGGAGGGATGTGGCGGAAGAAGGGGGAAGCTCGGGGGAGGGGGGAAGGGGGGCCGAGGGGGAGAGCCTATGGGGCGGTGAGACAGAGGGAGTGGTGATGGGGGGGTTTGGTGGTGGCATGCGGGATGGAGAAGTGGGGGAGGGGCAAGAGGTGGGGGAGGGGGAAGAGGTGAATGAAGATGGGGATGGGGAGGACTATGAAGTGGTGTGTGAAGGAATCTATTAGAGAGCGTAGCGATAACGAGAGAGTTTCTGCTATGGGAATGATGTTGCGCCAGTAACTTGGTAGAGTTTCGGTAGCGTTTGCCTCTAAGGACTTGGTGAGAATTGAAGTAGCATTTTGGACTTCACTAGGAACATAGAAAATATATATCAAACACATAAGCAACACAAACATATATAGGCAGGCGAGGGTTTCACAAGAGGTTGCGTGGGCGCTACGAGTAACCCAACCCCACGAAAGTGGTGTGTGGGTGAGCGAACGCGCCTCGCCAATTTCCCAACCCAACTCAGCATCGACTTCTCGCTTCCGTGCACACCACTCCACCAACACAGCAAGGAGTGGTGCGACTCTCAAGGAAGCACCAACGACTCCCACGGACCCTCGCTTCTTCATGCGAACTCCTGCGCAGTTGCACATAGTCACACGTAGTCACACCCGACCTTCACTGAACTCATTCATCGGTGCCGAGTAGACTCAGTCGTTAGGCGTCGACCTGCCAAGTCAAAGGTGATCGAGGGCCCTTGCTGTTGTAGGGCCCTCTAACACTCCCCTGCCATACTACAGCAAGGCCCTTTATAATCACAGGGCATGCATACACACGTACACGCCAAAACAAAGGGAAACACACACAAACGAAGCACTCTCAAAGTGCAAACACGCACCGCACCAGCCATGGATAGGCCATGGCACCATCCACATCATGGAGTGTTTAGGTCTCACCCCCCGCACTCGAAAGCCTCACCTGCCCCACAGCCTCGAAGCAACGACTGAAGGCGGGGAAATGCAATGCCTTCGTGAGGTAGTCAGCAGGCTGCTCGCTCGTAGGGATGTACTGCAACTGCAGCTTCCTGCGCTTGACCATGAGCTGCAGCCACATGTGGCGACGCTCCATGTGCTTGAGGCTCCCCTTGAGCCCCATGCCACCTGCCACTGAAATGGCGGAGGAGTTGTCCACAAAGAGAGTAGTGGGTTCCTCACTCCTCAGCAGTTGAAACTCTGCCAGCAGGAAGCGCAGCCTGCGCGCCTCCTTCCCAGCCTCCACAGCAGCAACATACTCAGACTCAGTGGAGGAGAGGGTGGCGCAACGAATCCTCTGGCTTGCCCATGAGACAACAGCACCCCCGAGCACGAAGACATAGCCACCTGTGCTGGTCCTGTTCTGCTTGTCCCCTGCATCATCAGCATCGGCGTAGCCCACCAGCTCCAAGGACTCCGGCCCACCACCAAACTCCAGCGCCACATCCCTGCTCCCCACCAAGTACGTCAAGCACCGGTCCAACTCCTTCCAGTGCTGATCACTCCGCACAGTCTGGCCCGACCCCAGCTTGCTGCAGGCGAACGAGATGTCGGGACGGGTGGTACAGGCCGCGAACTGCAAGGATCCCACCTTCTGCCTGTACTCCTCCTCCTGGCGAGACTGCCATCCCACATCCTCAAAGGTCTGCACACTGAAAGGGTCAGAGGAAAGAGGGGTGCGAGGCACTCGCAGCGGCTGCTCCCCGTCAAAGAAGCGCCTATGAACCTTGTCCACATAGGCCCCCTGGTGCAGCCACAGCCTCCTCGTAGGCCTGTCCCGAATCAGCTGCAACCCCAGATACTTCTCCACAGGGCTAATCTCCCGCAGCGGAAACGCACTCTGCAGCAGCTCACGCAGCTCCCCAAGCATGGTCTGACTGCGGCTGGCAGCAAGCAGGTCATCCACATACACCAGCAGCCAGCACATCTCCCCATCAGCAACAGTTTTGAAGTACAGAGCCTCATCCACCTTGCTCTTCTTCCATCCAGCCCCAAGCAGCACCCCATCCAAGGCCTCATACCATAGCATCGGGCTCTGCTTGAGCCCATACAGACTCTTCACCAACTTACTGACACGAGGAGTCCCATCCTCGTAGTAGCTCGGCTGCTCCATATAAAGGTCTCGGTCCAACACGCCATGGAGGAACGCATTCTTTACATCGAGCTGCATCAGGTCCAAATCAAGTGCAGCTGCAATCGCCAGAAGCACACGCGCCGTCACATAGCTTCCCACAGGGGCGTACGTCTCCTCATAGTCCACCCCTGCCACCTGCGTGAACCCCTTCACCACCAGCCTCGCCTTCTCACGCTCCACTATCCCATCAGGTCGGAACTTGGTGTTCAAAATCCATCGGTTCTTCATCACATTCACCCCTGGCGGACGCGGAACCAACTCCCACGTCCCCTGCTCAATCAAGCTCCGCATCTCTTCATCCATCGGCTCCTTCACCTTGTCGCCCTTCCAGCAGCCCAAGGCCTCCTTCACTGTCATTTTCGCTATGTCCCACTGCCTCTCAGGATCAGCTGCAACGTCCGGGTCTAGGTCAGTCCACTCCTCGTCCTCCTCCTCGTCATCCAAGCCCGCTGGCTCAACCACTACAGCCCAAGCGTATCGAACAGGCGGGACACCACGAGTGATGCGAGTGGAGCGACGCACTGGTGCAGTGGTCGTCCCAGAAACCAACACACGACCACCATCTCTAATTCCCCACATCTCTTGCTCCCCTGTCTGCGGCTCCCCTGTCTGCTGCTCCCCTAGCTGCTGGTCCACCATCTGCTGCTCCTCAATCCGCTCCTCCCCTGTCTGCTGCTCCCCAATCTGCTGCTCCCCTGTCTGCTGTACTCCATCCATACTGCTCTCGTCCTGCAGATGCTCAGTCTCAAGGCGCTGCCCGTCGGTGATCTCCACAGACGGTGGCACCTCCATCCCCCCCCCACCAACGGGCGGCGCCGTGGAAGACGAAGAGGAGGGCGGAGCAGGTGCAGGAGGGATGGAGGGTGAAAGGGGGGATGGAATAACAGGAGGAGGAGGGGAAGGCAAGGGGGGTGAGGAGGAAGAAGGCAGGACAGGGGGAATCACACGAGGGTAGACTGAAGGCGGAGGTGGGGTGGGGACCGAGGTAGGGACATAGGTCATAGCAGGAGGTGCGACCACCTCCTCCTCCTCCTCCGCCTCCTCGAGAGTGATCGGGAAGAGTGAGGGAAGGGGCTCATAGGGCATCAAACGCCCCCCATGCTCCT